GCTTCTTGTCAAAGGAACTGTGGAAGCTAAGCTAATTAAATTTTGGCCACGCGGTCGGGGGTTCATGGGGTTTTTTTTTGGTGGGTGGGTGAAGGGAGCAAAACATGCCATGCCAAAGTCAAAGGTCAAAGGCAAATGAGCTGGCAGCGTTTTAATTAAAAAATTTCCACTAAGCAGGAGCATGGATCAAAAGCTATCGCTATCGCTATCGCAGATGCGGCAACTGGCGACCACAAGCTGCAGGACACGAGGCACCACCCCAGGCAGTCATCCTTCCAGTCCAGGATTAGAAAGCATGTGTGGCCACCACAGACGGGGTTAAGCCATTAGAACTTCATAAACAATTTCAGCAAGTTAATTTTAATTACTTTTAATCCAAAGTTAGATTGTAAAGTGTTTAACAACTGTTTTGGCAATTTGTAAATAAATAATTATTATATCAATTCAAAAGATTTTCTTTGCTTCTTGCAGTTTTTAGTTGAAGAACAAATTCTATAATAGATAAATATATGTTTACATTTTCTATATTTAATATATATTATTCCTCATTTTGGCTTACATTCTAATTACCTGTGGTGTTCGTATGTGGGCTCCTTGGTGTGTCTACTATTTAACTTAATGAGATGCGTTGCAAAAGTGATGTGTTCGCAGCGATAATCCTGAAATTTTCAGCTAATTAAATTGTTAAATATTTTTGCTTTTGCGCCCGTGGAACGTGGGCGTGCATGGCCATATCCTTGCATTCTTAGGTAGACAAAAACGTATCGGGAGGATCAATCCTTTTAACCTTTTCTTATCCTTTACATTCTCTCCTTTGAGCCTGCGGTCAAGAACTCGAACGCAGCGAACCCATTCGCGTCCTGAGGTTTCCATGGGAGTGAGGTCATAAAAGTCCTATTTTCCTTACCGCCCTGCCATTTGGAAATTCATGTTTATTTATGCACTTGCATTGTGTGGCGAGAGTAAACTCTATTTTCTCAAAAAAGAAACCCTTTCCATTTCTCGCGGCCCACTTCCCGGGAATTTCGTTACCCTTTCAACTTCAGTTCCCTTTTGGCCCGTCCTGCATTTCGGCGGCCATTTTCCCCTCTTTTGCAACTTGTCAGTCATTTGAACAAAACTAATTTGCATGTCATTTCTTTAGCACTCTTGAAATTCGTGCACGAAATGCACACGAGCCGAGAGGGTTGATTGCAAAATTGTTCACAGTTCATGGCAAAGAATAGTTTAGAAATGTAGTAGTCTAAATAATATATAATATTAAATGTAAAAGATTTGTAATTAGCATTTAACAGTAAGTATCTATGACCTATAAGTAACTTTGATCAGTGATTAACTATGAACAGTGATTAACTCTGAGCAGTAAGTAACTCTTAACATTAAGTATCTATGACCAGTAAGTAACTCTGATTAGTAAGTATCTATGACCACTAAGTAACTCTGATTAGTAAGTGTCTATGACCAGTAAGTATGTATGTATGATCAGTAACTAACTTTGAACACTAATAAACAATGACTTGCAACTTCTGTAGCACAACACATATCTGAGACCTGCCCTGCAGCAGTCACTTCGTTCCGGGGATGTTAGAACCAGTTGGGAATCATAAGCACAGATGTGCGAGATTTGTTTTAAAACAAACTTAAGGTATTTGAATGAAACTATGGAGTTAGTCTTCAATATAATTTTACTAGGATATAAATCGGAGCATGCCGAATCGGTGGACTATATATTTATATATATATATATATATATATACATATATACATATATAAAGCTGCTATAGAAACAATCGGAAAACTTTAAGATAAAAAATTATAATTTTTTCAGTTTTCAACAGATTTTCATCAAACTTGATATGTAGCCATAATTTATTAATCTAGAATTTTGTGTTAAATTTTATGAAAATCTGTCTACTATATCATATAGCTGTTATGTAAACAATATTAAATATTTAAGACATATATTTAAAAGACTGATATTCTTATTAAATATCATTAGCTCTACAAAGTTAAGGAAATAGTCTTATTAATTGAAAGTTTTCGTAAACTTTTCAAAGAGTTTTCTTGGAAACTAACCTCGCTGGACGACAACAAGCAATTCAACTTGAATAAATATTATTTGCAAGTGGCTCAAGGCAGGCTTTAACCCTTTGACCCCCTCGATCTTAGTGACTCACAGCTCTTAGTCCCTCATTCTATCCATAATTTGACTTTTACAAAAGGAAATACTACGCTTTATGCTAATTTACCCCCTGATTAACAAGTGCTAATACATTTAAAGGTAAATAATAATTTAATAAATGAATATTATAATATATCCATGGCATTTACTTAACATAATAAGATATCATCACCAGGCAGGACACACCCATATCGGTGGTTATATCACCTGCTCACCGAGGCAAGGACATGCTCATACAAATTGCAAAAAAAAAACCAGGACATTGGAGCTGGCCAACAAATCATATTACAAAACTTTACACGCTTAAAAGCGCATGTAATTGGCTTTTGAAATGGCCATTCCCTCCCCCGCTTTTGGCCATTTTGGCCAAAGGTTAACACGTTCCGGCCACGTTGGCCAGGTTGGCCCCGATCCCGGGATGCTAATAACAATAAGTGTCGATGTCCTGCCTCCTGCGGACGACCGGCGTCTGTGAAATATGAGGAGCAGCGCAGTAGCAAAGGAGACAACGCTGGTCAACCCTCCCCAGCTTGCAGGATTTTTTCCCTTTTTTTCTTTCTGCAGAGTCCTTTCGGCATTGTGTTCGCCGCACTTGGGGCTAATTTTTGTTGAAAAGCCAGCCAAGCAGCACTTGGGCAAGTTGGCCAACGGAAAACCCAAGGGGAGGGCTTGGAATTACGATGGAACTGCAAAAGGGTTTCGGTATTCCATTACCGACTGCGGGTTTTATTTTTACGGTATTTATTTTGACCGATGTTCGTCTCAAATTATAACTTTTGATGTAAGCCTAATGCATTATACATATATATTTAAATAGGCAATATAGCTATAGTTATTACTTTGAATTGTTTGTTTATTGTTTTTTAGTCTTGCTCTTTAATTGTTTTGTTTGCTAAAAGTGATTACATTGATCATAAATATATGATTTTCCTTAAGAGCTGACAGTCTGCGTTTATGGTAGCATTTTTCCGGCAAGTTTGTCTCACAAATCATCTCGAAAAAAACCCCCATAAAACAACCATCATCATCTTGTTTTACTTCCATTTTTGGAATTACCTCTCTCTCTTTCTCGAAATGCTAAAATGTTAAAGTTTATTACCATACCATACATTGTTGTTTTGGATTTTCGTCAATTGTCTGGCCAAACATTTGGCACACACGCACACACACCCCCGCACACACACATGACTATAAAGTTATCGCTTTTGAAAAGCGCCTGTCAATTTTTCCAATCATCAGGCCTAATGAAAAATCTAGCTCACGAACAATAAAAACCCGTCGGTGATGAGGGGGGGTAGGTGAAATGCCAACTAGAAATCATGGGGAACCACCACCGTGGTGCCGGGCGGATGAAAAATTTTTGCATACGATTCTGACAATTTTCTGACAGCAAACATGCCAACACTCAAAAAGCGTAGCATGCTTTTTGGGGATATCAAAACGGCAGCAGCAGCAGTGCCGTAGGGAATGGAAATAAGAAAGGATATGTGGCCAGGCTGCCACTAAACGAATATTTTCATGCACTTAAATATATAATTATTATCAATTTTGGATAATTTAATATAAAAATGAATTATATATAAATATAGAAGGAGATTTTGAAATAGGAAATGCAATTAAAGTAGATTAATTAATAAGGAAATAGAGAAATATTTATAATAATTTGAATAAGACTGAGAATGAACTAAGTAAATGTGACCTCTCTCCCTAGAACTATCTCTAAACTATAAAATCAAGTTGTAATTACACCACACAGAGACTCTTTTTCCTTTAAATAAATCTATTTAAACACAAGCATATTTCGAAACAGAAAAATCACTTAAAGAAGATTAATTAGTTAATTAGAACTATCTTTACTCTATAAAATCGAGTTCTTCTAACTTGATTTACACCGCAAAGAGACCCTTTGTTAGGGCATCAAAATGGGGGCTTAAGTAAGAGGGGGGAAAATGGTGGAAATGGTTTTTTGTGATGGGTGTCGGCGGTTCGGAGTTGCGGTGCGGCATGTTAAATATACGTCACTGGCTACAACGAGCACATGCCTAGCACCGAAAAAAGTTTCAAGGATATAACAACGCCAGCGCCAACACCAACACCAACGATAAAAACAACAATAACTACAACAACAAGAAAGCCAACAATTACAACAATAAGTATTCCAAACAAGGGGGAGTGTTGGTAACAAACGTTAAGTCGTTGGCAGCACGAAATTAAAACCAAAAAACTTACTCGTCACGAGTTTTCCACAAATGATGACTGTGGAAATATAAGAAATGTGGAAAAAAAGGACTCCGGTTTTTGTTAGAGAAAATTCAATTCAATTAAAACATATAAATAAAAGCAGATGTAGGATAAAATAAACTAGTTAAATATAAATAATATAACTCTGTTAAATGCTGATATAAAAATAAACTTTTGATTAGATTCAATTATTACCCCTTAGAGTTTTGACTGTAATATTTTATTTCTCAAAAATTAAAGAAATCCATTGATAATTTCTTTCCTTATCATATATCCGCAATTATCCCCATAGAACTCTTTCTCTTCCTCATATTTTCAGTTCCTTTTTTAAAGTCCTGTCTGCACTCGAGCATAATGAATCATATTTTATATTCCCATTCTCCTAGAGCAACAAAATTAAGGTCCCAAATCACGCATACGCAGCGTGGCATCGTCTCATTAAGAGCACAACACTTTTGTGGCTAATTAAAAAAAAAGGAGAACCTGGTTAATGCCGAAATGTTTACGAATATTACACTTTGTGGTTTTAACAAGTATGCCATGCTTTTCTCGACGAAAGCAACTGTCTGGGATTGGAAACGATAGAATTCATTCCGCTCTGAATCGTACACTGGATAAGTTCGAACAAAATCCAAATTTTTTGAATAGTATTTTTACAAAAATTTTGTCAGTCGTTTTTTCCTAAATTTAAATTAAATTTAATCGCTATGAAGCAAGATATTAGTCCTGACCGCGATGATTGTATAACGCCATTAACAATCGCGGCCATTGAGGAGGAGCATCTCGCTATCTGGTTGTCCGAGGATGACGATGATAGCGAGGACTCGTCAGAGGAATACTCCTTTGCCCCCCACGATACTGACAGCGACGATGTGACCTCTTCCGATGATGAAATGGAAACGACCCCAGCGGAACCGATTGAACTCATAGGTGAAGTGGTGGAGCAGCCCGGAGCGTATCTTTATGGCATCATCCAGGAATACATCCGTGACTGGAATGATGACAACGAGTTCTCCGAAGGCTTCAGAAATAATATTCAAGGTAAGGTAACTGAACCGTTTTTAAACAATTTTTTTGCAAATGAGGAACCTGAGGAAATAGTCTCCGATAACCTGCTGGGAAATCTCAACACTGATCGAATTTTGGAAAAGATCGAAACTCTGGAAGATGATCCGCTTATGGAAAATATCGAAAATGATATGCATGAGGATATGTTCACTGATCACCTCAATCAAAATATGGATACTGAGGAACATCAGAACATATTTTCCGATCAACTCGTGGAGAATATGGAAGCTGAAGTGGTTGAGGATATATTCTCCGATCACGTCATGGAAAATGTCAACAATGAGGAAAATGGGACCATGTTCTCCGATCGCTTGATGGAAAACTTGAATGCTGATGAATATGAGGACATGTTCTTAGATCGATTTGTGGAAACAATTGAAACTGATGACCTTGAGGTTCGTTTTACGGAAAATGTAGATGAGGAATATATGGAAGTCTAAATTTTCAGGGCTTTTACCATACCGAAAACATCGTATCAATTTGCAATGCTTTAACATCATTCGTATGTCATCACAAGGATTGCTCTACAAATTTTTATTTAAATATATATGAACAATATGCAGCATCAATGTACATTCTTAGTCTTTACTTTTAGTTGTTTTATAATATTTTTATTTCTCTGCAAGGCCTTGACACAGATTTAATGCAAATGGCCGCCGACATAGAAGTACTTTATCTCTTTTTTCGGCTACATTTGCTTTCAAATCTCTGGCCAGTGGAGGGAATGCAAGTTAAGGGCCGGGAATCCATTGTTTGGTTATCTAATACCCGCCGGGGGGTAGAAAACAATAATAAAACCAAAAGGAAACATAGTTTCTGGTATTCGAATCCTTCATACCCTTGTTAGTTATAAATATATCTAGAAGTTAAAGTTTAAAAGATTGAATGTTTGCTTGTAAGATGGAAACATGACTTTGAATCTAGTTTTATTATTAAATATATTTTAAGAAAATAACATTACCAGTTGATTAAGAAGGCAACCTTTCAAAAGCAATCGGAAAAAGACCAAACCTATATTGATATATATATTTCTGCCTCACAAAATGTAGATACCCTTTAAGGACATACAAAATAGGATACTATACAAGGGTGTACATTCGTCATAAGTGCGTCTGCATGTGCTCGATAATAACCACCCAAAAAAAAAACAAAAAACGGAAACCCATCTGAAGTGGTTGGAAATCGGAATTTGCGATTTCAATGCCACTCAGCTGGCCGCTGGGAAAATCGCCTTAAAAAGTCCATTCCCCCCCCCCATCCGCAGGCATGTATCTGTGTATCTGTATCTGTTTCTGTACTTGCATGTAGCTACAAGATACTTTTATACATCTATATAATGGCAGGAAGAAGGTCGAGGTCCATTGGCCCTGCATTTTTTGGGGTGGCTTTTTCATTATCATTTGCCGCTGCACATAAATTATTTATTGTTAGCGATTTTCCCAAAAAGATAACATAAACACAAGGGGAGGGTTCCCATATTCGGGGCTGAATCACAAACCAGGAACCAGAAAAATAAAGAAGCATTTTATTTGCTTTGGTCGCGAATCTGTACATATATCCCTATATCCGCATATCCTGCGCTCTCCATCTAACGCATTTCCACCGGATGTAAATAAATATTTATAACTTAGCCTTGGCCGCATTATGCGAAGCAACAACATCATAAACATAATATTAATATGAATTCTGTTTTGGTTTTTGGTAAATAGCCCAGGGGCCCAAAATAACCAGAGAGAAAAAATCAAAAATGGAAGCGCCGGGTTACATATGTACTTTCCCCTAAGGCTCAGGCGAATCTTGATAAAGTTTTTCATATTAAAAAATATTAAATAAATTTTATATTCCATTTTAAACAATATTTTTAAGTTTGAAACTATTTTGATTGCCGTATTTATAAATTTTTAGGCAAAAACTTGCGTATCTTAAGCTTTTAACATATAACTTAACCTTACTTAAAAAATAGAAACAATTTTGATTACATTATTTATGGATATTAATATCTTAACCTTTTCAAAATTTAACTTCACTTAAATTAGGAAATTATTTTAATATATATTTTATATAATTCCAAACAATAACAACAAGCCCTTAAGCTTTAATATAATTTCATAAAACCTAACTTAATACATTTTTTATTCCAATCTTTATTTTAAAAGTTTTGATCTTATTTACAGATTTAAATTTTTATTAAATACACTTACTTTTGCCCAAAAAAAATCCTAACTACCTAACTCTAAATTGCATTAAAACGCTTGCCAAAGCAAATAAAAATCCGGATGAAAAAAAATCCCCTTAGTTATATATATCTTTATTAAAGCCATCAGCATTTATTAAATCCATTAGCATCAGCTCATAACCCCTCTTGAAACGTACTGTGAAAAATCCGCCGAAAAATAACCCCAGCCATTAACATGTTTGACCTTTGACTAACAAGTTGCAAATTTGTTTTCAACCCAAAATATAAAAACAAAAAAAAATGTTTTATACGGAAATGAAGCGATTTTTTGTAGGGGTAAAAAAAGTGCCTACCGTGACCGCCAAACAACGCCACTACATTAGCAGCTGCAGTGGGTTAAAACAGGAAGAAAAAAAACCCCCCTTAACCCCACGGTGGTCAGTGCCAGGCAACCGACAGCGAACAATGCCAAATAATTGGACTTTATGCAGAAGCAATACGCAAAATCTGCCTGGATTTCCATCTCTGTCTAGCCACAAGAGCGGAAGTTAACTTGCGTGCGTCAGGATCCATCTACCCCTTTAACCCACCAATGCCCCTCATCCCTTTAACCCTGCACAGGCCCCCCACACTGCGAACTTTAACCCACGGGGATATTGCTGTTGCTGGCGGCTTGGCTCGTTCGGTTGCGGTTCAAATTTAATATTCACTCGCGCAAATAATCCACACACACACACACAGAGGGAGAGAGACACACCCACAGGCAGACAGACACAACAAACACACACACACTCAACACACACACAAAATGGCGCTGCTAAGCCGGGGGAAAGGGGAAGGGATTGGGGCCTCAAGGGGTTAAGGGTTTGAGGCCTGGCTAACTGCAAACTGCAACTGCAAGTGAAGTGTTGTCTGTGGCTAGCCAGCAGCCAGGATTCCATTCTCATGTGTGTGATTGTGCACTGAGAGAAATTCAATGTATTCAATGAAAATTTATACTAAAAAACCAAGCTAAGCAGGTAAAGTCTATACCAAATTAAATAGAAAATATCTTGCATAAACAAATCTAAAAATATATATCCTTTTCCTTTCTCTTTTTTATATTATTTCTTTCAGTACCTGGCTCAAAAATTTCGTTATGAAAAAATGTGGGGAAATATGGGGGAAATATGAGGACTATAGCTGAACATCGGTGGGTTTTGCTGGGGGGACAGATTATTTATTATTTGCCTGCGGAGATTTCATTTACACAAAGAGCCTTTCGAGCAGCGAGAAGTGCATTAAATCATCAATTGTCTCAATCGGGGGTTTATTAAGAGCTGAGAAGAATCAAACGCAGGGAAAATCCGTGTAAATATATAAATTGTAGGGGGGAGGAAAACTCTGGAGGCTATTTTCCGACACTGATTAAGGCCGGATGAGCTGCGTTTGTGGGAATAATTAAGATTTACCTGACGGGGAAACCAATACAACAAGTTAAATAATACCTTAAAACAAAGTACAATTCAAAAGTTATATAAAGTTATATTATATTATTCAGAATTAGTAAACATAAAGTGCAATATTTAAGCGATATGAAATGTTATAAATTTTTTTATTTTATATAGATTTATTCACCATAAATTAATATTAAATTTGTCAAGTAAAAAGTATCTTTAGGAAGTGTCTTTTACATAGTCTCTCTCTTATAAACCAAAACAATATTTAACAAGTTTTCGATTGAAAAATAAACTATATCCTTTAAGAAACTCCCCCATTGGAAAACTTAACAATTTCCACAGATTTATACAGTTTTATCCTCATTCCCTTCCATGTGGTCCATTCCAATTACGTATACGCCGCATGTGACGCTTGAGAAGATGCACGGCAACAGCATTGCAGGTAAATCGCAAATTCCACAAATCTAAAAGCCGAAAGAGATGACCGGCTAAGTGTGAACATTTGGCCATTAGTTGGACCTAATTAGCCGCAAATTGGTGGCACCGCCGGTTCAATGGCCAGAAACAAAATCTGAATCGGAATCCAAATCCAGAGTCAGAAGTCAAAAGTCAGAGACAGACGAAGCTAACAATTAGGAAAAAGGTTTGACTGTAATTTGGCTTGATTTGCTGACTGACCGCCGTTGCAGTTGTCCTTTCGGAAAATGCAACTCCAGGACATTTTCCACGCCCCCCCCCCCCCCCTCAATACCACGTCCCCAAAATAAAATGCCTTCATGTCAATGTCGCGACGCTTTTTGTTGCTAGTGTTTGCTTCGCTTCACTTCGTTGATGTTGCTGCTGTTGCTGTTGCTGTTGCTGTTGCTGTTGCTGTTGCTGTTGCTGTTGCTGTTGCTGTTGCTGTTGCTGTTGCTGTTGCTGTTGCTGTTGCTGTTGCTGCTGTTGCTGCTGTTGCTGCTGTTGTTGCTGCTGCTGTTGCTGTTGCTGTTGCTGTTGCTGCTGTTGCTGCTGTTGCTGCTGTTGCTGCTGTTGCTGCTGTTGCTGTTGCTGTTGCTGCCGCTCGTACAACTGTCCAAGTGACAGCTGCCGCCGTGACTGTCAGCCGCCGCCCTGGAAAAAAAAACCACGCCAAAAACAACAGGGGCACAAAAAAAAAACATATCAAGGTGGAAAGCAATTGAGAGTCGAAGAAATTAATGCTCTTTCGAAGCAACAAATTGATAAAAAGACTTATAAAATATATAATTTAACAATTAATAAAATTTTTTATATTTTTTTTAATAACACAAATACAAAAGAAAACCTTCTCCACAGCTTTTAAACATAGTTGCCTTTAGGATGTCTTATTTTATTAATTTTCTTTGTATTAAACATGTATTTATTTCCTATATTTACCTATTTAAATTAATTCAAATATCAGCAAGTGTTACAAACTTCTTATTCTAGTTAATATAACCCTCTTTTGGGACGGGGGAAAAGTGTAAAAACCGATGCGAGCCAGCTCTGCAGCAATGCGCAATCAGTTGCAACGCAATTTGATTTTGTCGCTTCATGGCTCATGCACTGCTCCCCCTCCTCCGCCTGCAACCCCTTGACCGATCCCCCCCTCTTTCCCTTTTTTCCGTTTCCCTTTTCCCTTTTGAACCCTTAACCCCTGCATTTTCCACCCATAAAGTGCACATGTCGCTCCATGTTCACAGTGACATTCATTCGCCGTCGCAGCGCTTTCTTTTCCACAGCCATAAAAAGTTTCCGGCCAGCACTCGTCCCCTCTCTGTCTGGCCCAGTGTGTGTGTGTGTGTGTGTGTGTGTGATTGTTTCACCTTTGACCCCCCCTCTAGTTGGAAATTTTTTGGCAATTTATTTGACGGCTTCAAGTTGCCGACGTTGCTG